AAGGACAGAGCAGGCACAAGGCAAAGATGTCAAGTCCTCTGCTCAGCCAGGTCAGCCCAGGACAAGGTGAGCAGTCCCAGAGCCTAGAGCCCCTGCCCAGCTGGAGTCTGGGGTCAGACAAGACTTTGAATTCCCTAACTAGTTCAATGTCTAAGTCAAATGCCAGAGACTTGGCTTTCATATCTGTAAAGCCAGATGAATACCAGCAGTCTTTAGATGGTGTTAGGGCATTTAAAAATGCCAGGCACTTAGTAGGTCCTCAAGAGAAAAGTTCACTTTCACCATCACTTCTGACCACTGAGGAAACTCAAGTCCAAATGAGAGGAAAGAAAAGGAAGACACGGCTCAAGTGGCAAAGCCCTTGCCTAGCAAGCACGAGACCCTGAGTTCAAACCCTAATACCATCAAGAAAAGAAAAAGAATGAATACTTGCCGTGAGCATGCCAAGTTCCACAGCCCTCCAATGTGCCAATAATCTGGCAAGCTCTTTAGGGAGAGATCTGGCCCATAGATGAGGTCACTGTGGCCTACAGAGGCAAAGGGACTTGAGGTCTCTGAGGTGGGTTTCTGAACCCTTCTACTGTCTAGCAGGGAAGTGGGCAGCTCTCCAAAGGCTCCAGGATGCCAGTATGGCCCTGCCCCTGGCACAGGAACAAGTTGAGGGTGAGTGGCACAGCCTCCCCTAGGTCCCAGTGTGTGTGTGTGGTAGAGTCAGCTAAGAGAGCCTGGGAACTCGAACCTATGAGAAGACTGGGATGGGTGAGTTCAAGAGAGACACAAGACCACTCACTGGGAACACAGAGGTTCCAGATGCCTCCCTGGCCAGAACGAGGGCAGGAGAAGGAATCCTAGGCCAGGTGGGGTCCTTAGTCTCTCACCAGCTGCAAGAACCCAGACACCTCCTCTCTAGTCTCATCTTACCAGGCCTCCCTGTTGTCAGGAGCCAGAGAATTGGGAAGGAGGGCAGCTAGGTCACCCAGAGAAGAGAAACCAAGATGATATGTTCTCTGGCTCACTGAGCTCAGCCTGCAAGGACTGCACACCTTGCACTAAGCTGGGGGGCCAGATTGCACCCAGGGAGCTCATCCAACAGAGTCCACAGCACTCCTAACTCCTCACCCAGCCCATAAGGCCTGGCTATCCCCAAGCTGCAGCACCTTGCAGCCTCAACTCAGCCTTTTGCAGCTGCTCTACTCTGGTTCAGACCACTCCACATGGGCTCCACTTAGCAGCTCAGATGCACTGAGCTCCCCCACCTTGGAGCCTGCAAGCCGTTGCCTCTGCCTGGAGGCTCCTATCCCAGATCCTCCCATGGTTGCTTATTTCTCAGCCACCAGGTCTCTGCTCAGTTGTCACTTTCTCAAAGAGCTCTCCTCGACCCCCCTCACATATCCCTGTTTTCTAGACAGCCCTAAAAATGCCACTTACTAGCTGTGTGACCTTGGGAAAGTGACTTACCCTCTCTGTCTCAGTTTCATCTTTAACAGGCATGATAATGGAGTTGTTCTAAGGAATGAATGCATGTTTGGCACATAGCTAGCACTTACTACTATTATTATTCACAGCACTTTGTGCAGATTTCATGGCTATTTATTTGACCTTTTCATCAGCTCTCCCTTACTAGCTGTCCGCTGCATATGGCCACAGACCACAGCATACTCAGCACCTGCCACATACTAAGTACCTGTGGAGGAAAAGATGATCTTGGTACAACATCCTTACGAGACGTTATTAATTCTGGGGCCAGGTAGGATGGAGACTCAAAAAGGGGAGTGATGGCTGAGCTGGGTTTTGCAGGATGAAGAAGAGTCCCCCAGACATTAAGAACACTAAGATGTTCACCTATGGCCAAGCCTGGAATCCACATGAGGTTTCTGAATGGGCTGATACTGACTGTTCAAGCCTCACCCCTTCCTCCAGGAGCCTTCTGGAAGCACTGCAACCCCATCTGAGCTGCCATGATCACTCATTCATTCAGCAGTTTTGAGTTCCCACTATGTAACAAGCACACCATTTTGTGTCACTAGCTCACCTCTTTTCCACCACAAAGCAGGGCCCTGAAGGGAGACAGGCCCTGCCTTTCACTATCAGAACCACCCTCAAAGTGGTCTGAAAAGCTGTCATGAACAGCCAGACCCCCTGATGTGAAGTGCTGGGACCTGCAGGACAATCTAGCATGCATAGACCCAGAGAGAAGTCATCTGGCCTGGGGTCTCACAATGAGTCATGGGTTGAACACAATCCAAAATGCTGTACCTACACTCTTCTGGCTTAGACCCCTAATGGGCCCAGATTTGAAGGTAGGGGAAAAGCCCCTCCAGCTGTCCTCAGGTTCAAGGTGAGATGGTGGGTCTGGAGCAGCACAGAGAGAGGTCTGTAAACAGGAGTCCAGATGTGCACAGCTAGTTCTGGTCCTCCTGGCAGTACCACCTGGGCACAGGGTGTCTTGGAAGAACTGAGACAGATAGCCCATCACCATTTCTGGAGTAAAAAGAGAAACAGTTCCTGGGCCCTACTAGTTGCTGGCTGGGGCCAGGCTAGAACTTGGGCTAGACAGAGGTTCTCAGGGCACCAGAAGGCCCTGCCAGGCCAGGAGAGTGGGACTCAGTACCCAATACAAACTCACACCTTGGATGGGTAAAGGACAAAACCTCCATTGAGAAAGGCAAGGATTGAGATAGAACAGGGAGACCTTTTCAGTACTCCAAGACCAGCACTCAGCATTCCTCCTGCCCCTGGCTTGGTGGCAAACTCACAGCTTCATTTACTTGCCCATTACTTACTCATAGGCACTGAGAGCTGGCTGGTACCCAGTAGTGAGCAGGAGCCGGCCCACTGCACTCCAACATTTGCTCTGTCTACAGATACTAAAAAGGGTCCCCCATGCCATGTAAAGCATGGATTATCTGAAACCTCCTCCTGTTCCCAGTTTATCCTGGCTTCCTTAGTCCCTAGTGAAGAGGGGTTTGGTGGAGTTTCTTGGTTTGCTTGCTTTTCATCAAAAACAGCTTCAGTACCAAGCCAGAAAGATTTTCAGGCTCTCCCGTATTCTAGAGGAGGGAAGAAAATTCAAGAAGAAGCAGGAGAAATCCAAGACCTACCAAGCAGGCAATAGGTCAAAGGTGGTGGTCAAGGCCAGAGGGTTTTTAGTTGATGTGAGAGGCCCAATTTCCACACCCAATGCCCACTTCCATCCCCAGACCCAACAGAGGCAGTTCTGGGAAGCTGAATACTAGCTAGGCATAGAATCAGGACATGGGGGTCCAGGAATGACTTCAGGACCTTTGTCTGGCTGAGCCTCGGCCTCCTTAAGAGCTGAAACTCTGGGGCCAGGACTACTGAGTTCAAATCCCAGCTCTGCCACTTCCTACCAGTGTGATCTTGGACAGGTCATTAATCTGTCTGCTAAACCTTGGATTCTTCATCTAGGATGGGATGGGGGAGGCGATAAGTGTACCTACCTCCCAGAAAACTGAATAAATCAATGCGTGGAGAGTTTGGCATGCTGCCTGGCACAGTCAGCAGGTAAGAATTTGCTACTATTGCTCTCTGCAAAATGGTGATAAGGACACATTTTTCACTTACTGCCATGACCGCAGTTACCAATGAGGATTAATGGGAAAAGAGTCCTGAAGGGTTAAATATGACAGCTGGAGAGAAGATCCAGGCAGCCCAACCCCTTGGCTCAGGGAACAGGAGCAAGTAGCCCTTGTAGCTCACATCCAACCCTTAGTCTGGCTAAGAAGCTGCTGTCCCCACTAATTCTCTAAGCATTTCCTGGCCTCTGGCCAGGCTCAGTCCTGGTCTACCAGGCAGAGCCTCGTGGAGCTCACTGGTGGTGAGAGAGATGGAGGTCCCAGCCAAGCCAACATCCCAGTATGAGAAGTGCTCCCACAGAGGCAGGCACTTCTGTAAGAAATCTTGGAAGGCTTTCCAGAGAAGGTAGCATCCGGGCTGTCTGAGGACTCAGAAGGAACCTTCCAGGGAAATAGGGTAGGGGAGACACAGGGAGACTGCAGTAGCTCTGTAAGGGGGCACAGCAACATGGAAGAGAGAGCCACGATAGCCCACTAGGCAGAGGAACTCTGGCTGTGGCTACCTTGGAGAAGGCAGGGGGTTGGGGATGATGGGATGAAGACGGAGAAGTGGGCAGGGCCAGGTTGCCAAGATCAATGTGGAAGTCTTACTAAAGGCAGGGGCTGGGCACGGGACAGAGGACAAGGTGCACCAGGCCAGGTAAGGATGCCGAGCTGAGTAGTGCTGTGCACATGGAGGTGGTGGTAGGTAAGACATTTCTTTCTTGCTTTTGCAGGAAACACCCTCAGCCACTCTCCTCCCAGCATAAACTCTGCCAGTCTGTCCTGAATCTTTTTCCACGCACCAGGTCAAAGGCACCCAAAGGAGCCACTAAGCAATCAGGTCTCTCTCCGGCCTCAGCACCTAGTCTCAGCTCCAAAGCCCCAGTCAGGAGGTTCCAGGGAAAAGTGCTCTCCAATGTCACCTTGTAGGACACTTTTCCACATGACCTTTTCCTCAAATGGCCCTGTGCTTGCTCTCTTGCCCTCGCACTGCAGCACACAGTGGCTCTCCTGCCTACGCACACCCTCACATTGTAACTTCATCTGCCCCATGGCTTCCAGCCCTGAGCTGGAGAGTTAAGCACCACAGAGCCATGAGCTCAGACTCAGCCAGCAGCAGAAAAACACAGAGCTGTGCCTAGAGACACACACCCCCAGAGAGAATTCCAGAACTCGCTGCAGGTGCTCCACTCCACACAGCCAGCCCTTGGGATCTAGTGGCCTCTGGGGCTTGTTTGGGAACTGCTGCTTATAAGTAAGCAGCAACATCTTCTTCCAAAGACAGCTAGAAGACAGCCCGTGGAAAGTGAGACAGAAGATGCAGGACTCTGACTTAAAAGGGAAGCATCAGTCTCTTTCTGGGTCCCCAGACTCCCATGCCCTCCCCTGCACCTCCAATCTGCCCCAGCCCATGGTCCATACCCTACGCAGATGGCTGCCGACATTCTGGATCATCGTGGAGCTGCTAGCTGCTTCAGCCAGGCTGTGGGGCACTGAAGGCTCCCAGAGTCAGACGCTGGGCACCTGAGACACAGCGGCTCCAGCTCCAAATGTAGCTCATGGCCTCTCTCTGGCTCCTCCTCCTGCAGGCTCCCGCCTCCTGAGCAGCTGTTATCGCCTGCGCAGGTCCGGGCCTCTCCTGGGACTGCCCTCTGCACCCCTCCTCCCAGAACCCCTGCAGAAGCTTTTCAGAGGCGACCAGCAGGGCCATAGCCAGGGGCCTCGGGACTCTCACTGCCCTCTCCCCTCCTCTCCTCCCCAATCCAGCAAAACTCCATTCGCCCCCACTTACAGCCTCCTCACTCCCACCACCATCCCCAGGAATCCTCCCCCTTGGAGTTTCTTGGATCTGGGACAGCTCCAGCTCCCCTGCCCAGTTTTCATGTGTCCACAAGGGGGCAGTCTGGAGCACAGCAGGATGCTAGGGAGCTGCCAGCAGTCTCCCAGAGAGACCCCACACTCCAGACCCAACTGCTTGGACTCTTCACCATTGTAGGTGCTGCCAGCCTGTTCTACTGCCCAAGCTCCCGATATTCAGTAGCCACTGACCGAAGACAGGGCACACCCTTCACTTTCTTAAAGTAGGCAGCTTCTCAAAGTGGTACCTGCCAGAGTCCACTCTGAGGCTCTGCAGGATTGTGCCCCCTGTAGCCACCAACCTTCTCACTTCTGCAAGAGGCTAGATGAGTAGACCTTCTCACTCACACTGGACTTATGACAGGACAATAAAGGTGGTCAAGGGAAGGGTGGGGAGAGGCATCCAGGCAAGGGTGCTTGTATACAAGTAGCTCGGGAATAATAGAACGACCTTGAAAACGCCTTGAAGAAGGAGGTGGCTGTGTCCAGATGGCATGGCCAGTAAGTTCAGAGCAGGCAGGAAGACATCAGCCGACACTCTGAGTCCCTGCCCTTCCCTCTGTTCTTCACTGCTTCCAGTTCATCCACACAGATTCAATGTCTCCTCTGGGCACATACCGTCCAGGAGGCCTGGGTCCTAGGCCTGGTTCTTTCACTAATGGGCACATCACTCTGGGCAAATCCCCTCCTCTTTCTCAGCCTCCCCACTTTGGGAATAAAGACAGAAACACCCCTCCTGTGAGTTCAGACCTTGCCCTCCAAGAGCTTCTCATGTCGTCAAGGTAACTTTGACAGGTGGCCCCAGGGCAATTTCAGGGCCCTCACTGTGTAGAGGAAGAATGGAGGCCCCAGAGCTCCTGGCCCCCAGGCTCTTCTCGCTCCAGAGGACTACCATGTCTCAGTTCAGGGCCTCCATCTTAGAGTTCTACAAATTGAGGCCCAGAGAGAGAATGAGAACCACCCAGAGACACACAGTGCAGAAGGCGTCTAGAGTCACCACTCCTGGCTTCAGGTGCAGAGCCCTGTCCACCTGACCCCGCCACAAGGCATCAAATGGGAGAGGCTTCAGTTAGATTTCTGAGAGGACTTCCCGCAAGGCTGAGCCAAACTCACTGTCAGGAGCAAGCACTAGAGGATCCTTCTGGTCCACAAGGTCTATCCCCTCAGAACCCACTTTAATCACCTCAAAAGCTCTGCACCTCTTATTACTGCAGAGAGTATTTCCCTGGGGGCCTGTCTCCTCCTTCCAGCTCAGCTAAGCCCCCAACCACAGACCAGGGCTCCAAAGGCGGGAGGCTCAAAGGGCCCAAATTTCAGCCTGTGTCAGAGGTTCGAACCCTGGAAGGCTGGTGAAAATCCACCAACCCCACCCCACCCCAGGCTTGGTTCAGTAGAACAGAGGCAGAGCCTCCGCAGTGATGCTGGTGCTGTTGGTCCAGGGACAACACTCAGAACCAGTGAGCTGGGTCAACCCACCCAGTCCACTCAGGTGGGGGGGAAGAATGAGGCCCACAGAGCAATGGGGTTTGACCCCAGGGCCTTGCGCTTGCTAGGCAGATGCCCTACCACCTTGGGCCACACCCCCAGCCCTTTTTTACTTTGATGGGGTTTTTGTTTGTTTGTTTGCCCAGGCTGGCCTGGTCCTCAATCCTCCTATTTATGTTTCCTAAGTAGCTGGGATGACACACACGTGTCACTATGCCCAGCTTTTTATTAATTGAGATGGGGTCTTGCAAACCTTTTTTGTCTGGGCTGGCCTTGAACTGAGATCTCTACTTCTCGAGTAGCTATGATTACATGCTTGAGACAGAACCCTACAGTACATCACTAGCTGTAGAAGTGGCATTGTCACCATTGTCCCCTCCTCACATGCACAGCACTGTACCAGCACTTCATGTGTGATACCACCTTTGGGCTTCACTTTAAAAAGCAGTGTCTGACTATTCTTCCCCTGCAGAGGAAAATCAGAAGCAAAGAGTCCAAGATCACATAGTTGACAAGGATTGGAATCAGGATTTGAACCCTGATCTGAGTCCAGAGCCCACCACCTCCATAACCTGCTTATAGCTTATGTTGACCCACCAGAAAATTCTCTAGAGTTCCCAAATCCAGCAGACTCATTTTGAACATGGACTGAGCTCTTGGTGCCCTCAGCCCAAAGGCCTGGTCCTCCCATGGACCTTGGAGGGGGGGGGGGTCCCATGTCTGGAGTGAGCCTGCCCCTCCCCGAATTTTCTCCTGCAAATGCTCCACACTACACCCTCCTGGTACCACCAATCAGAGCTTCTGGCTGGGGATAAACATCTACATTAATTCTTCAGGTCCATGTCCCAAGTCCACATCCCCATCCAGTGACAAAACACAAAGAAACAATCTCCATTTCTATTCCATGGTGTTGCTGGGCTGTCTCTGCCAGTCTATCATCCCAGTCTGACTGGTGGCTCACAAAAGCAAGGACCTCATCCAAGTCCTTTGAGTTCCCAGCCTAGGTCCTTCCCAGAGAAAAGGTCTATTGACTAAGTGATAGATGGATGGATGCATGGATGAATGAATGAATATGTGTAGGGGTAAATGAGGAAATGAATGAACAAATAACCACGCCCCCTGGAATTTCCTTTCCTGGGCCTTTAGCCTTCCCAAGTGGGACCACAGAGTATCTGAGTAGGACCTGGGACCTAACACACTCCACAGAACCCACAGTTACACACGCATGTGCAAGCATGCACCTCCACACCTGCTCACTCTTCACAGTCCTTTATCTCTCAGTGCTTTTCTCAGTTGGTTTCATCTGATCTCCCCTCTTTTAACCTTGAACAAGCTAGCAGCAGGGATGGAATCCACTCATCAGCGTATCCTACCACTTCCCACTGGGCACACCAAGCCTTGAACACAGTAGCTGTTCAATTAGCGTCCAGAGACTGAATGAGTATAATTAAATGCAAAAGGACAAAGGAACTGTGTGAGTGAATGCAAGTACATGCAGACAGAAATACATAATCAAATAAATGAATTCACACTAAAATGTTGTCACCCCCTCCTGCTCCCCAAACTGAAGACTCCAGTTCTTTCTGGAAGCTCCTTGGGCCATGACATGGCAGAATAAAGGAAGCTGTGAGATAAATGGGGGGGAGAAATACAGAGAGGAACAAAGGGAGTGAGTAGTGATACCAGCTGGAGAGGAAGTGGAGGTGACCTGGTTCAAAGCCAGGAGCCCTCAGAACCCCAACTTTTTTGAAGAAGTTGGGGCTTCCAGAAGGGAGGAGCTTTTCTCCAGGGGAGAGAAGACCAGCGTGGTGGGGATGGAGACAGTGAACGCCTGCAAGTCATGGAGGCCAGAACTCTGATGGAAGAGCGACATTGCCCAGCCCTGAGCTCCATCCTGCCTAGCCTAGCTCTAACATGCCCTCTTTTTGGTCTCTTCCAGCTCCTCCTGTGGGGTCCGGGCCTGGCAGACTTCCTGCATTTGGCCTTGGCCTAGGAATCCTTCCCAGAGGCCCACACCCCACCTGAGTGCTTTAGCACCGGCTGTGCCTAGTGGACGACAGAGCCTGAGTCCCTCGGTGCCCGGGGCCGGCCTCTACAGCCCTCCTGCATCCTGGGGGGAGGCGCGCCCTCCGTCCTCCGGCCATGCACTCCATTCTGGGATGCTGCAGGCCCCAGCATGCCAAAGCAAGAGGACGCCGGGCCACACCTGGCCTGCCTGGGGACCAGTGGGGCTGGAGGCCGACCTGCCCGGGGAGGCGCCAGCAGCGGGAGGCGGCCGGGAAACGCGGCCTTCCCCAAGGACAGGGTGGAGGAGGGAGGATTCTTACCCCCGTGCGGGGACACTCCAGACCCGATGGCTGCCAGGGTTGCCTCCAGGTGGCAGAGCCGAGGTGCGGGCCGGCGCGGAAGCGCGGCGGCGAGGGGAGGGCGGAGCGCCCGCAGTTCCTGGACGCCGCGGCTGTCCCTCCCCTGCCCGCCGCGCGGGTGGGGCAGCCAGGCCTCCAGCTCGCCAGCAGTCAATCCGCGCCCGGCGGCTGTCATCCTAACACCAGCCCCTCATGGTGTTACAAGGTAGCATCTGCTATTCTTCCCCCCCCCCACACACACACACCTTTACTGAGCTCCTACTATGTGCCCAGCCCTGCCCTGGGTGCTGGAATGAGGTTGTGATTAGGACGCACTGTCCTTGCACTGGGTGGCTGGGAACAGCGCCCAGGGGACGACCACCTGCGATCTCTCTACTGTTGGCCTGGGGCAGGTGCTTTCCAGCCAGATGACCTAAAATGCAGACACCGCTCCTGCCCTGGGTGTGGATGGCTGCTACCTTATACACCTGTGAGGTATACCATACAGGTTGTGCTCACAGGCTTGGAGAAGCCGTCTAGAAAAATGTCCACCCGTGTTCATATTTGGGACCCAGGCTCATCGTGCCTACTGGGAAGGGACCAGACAAAACACAGTGATGATCCCTGAAACAGAGCCAGTGAGGGGCAGAGTTTGGCAGTGAGTGTGTAGTCCACACCAGGACTGGGGGCTGGGGGGCCACTCATTTCAGGCACTCTGCTGTGATGTGCGTGTGGGAACTCATCTTGCCCCAGACATTTGTTGTTTGTGAACAAAGAGAGCCACCTGCTGAACTTAGCCACACCTAGGGCCTCAGCAGCCCTCCTGTGGGGGAACCTCTGGTGGCTT